ATGAGGGGACAATACGGCAAACAGCAAGGCAATAAGAGATAAGTGATAAATATGCAATAAATCGATGTATTTGCAAATAGCCAGCCTCAAACTGCCTCCTGTGGTCCCAATGCAGGTCCCGTGGACCCTCCCCAGAACCTGTCTGTGTGGGACATCACCGCCAGCTCTTTGTCCATGTCTTGGTCCCCTCCTAGCTTTGCAACAGGACGGTTCAGCTATGTCCTCGAGCTCCACGAGCGCTCAGGTGAGACAGTATTCAGGAGAATAGCTAATTACAGGTGCTCGGGATGTCCTAATGTCACTTACGGTGGGCTTCTCCATAAAACAACACCATAAAAAAAAGAAAAACACCATAAATAAGTTTATGGTTTCGTAAGGCAGAGTGTGTTGTCAATTTATATAAATGATATGCATAGTTTAAATGGGTTTTACTGTGATTCAGTTTACTGTAGTAATGTAGTTCATTTCCCAGTAGGCCTGTAAAAAGGTTAAGGTAGAACATTTTGGACCAAATGTAGTAACTTATGTCCTTCAGAGTTTCTCATTTGTGTTTAAATTTTAGGACTTGTCTCTAGTGACAGCACGCTTGATGTGAACTTCACGTACTCGGGTCTGACCCCATACACAAACTACAGTGTGACAGTGAGGGCCCAGTCTGCGGGGGCTTTGGGACCGGTAGCAGAAGTGACTGTTTTAACTCTCGCAGACAGTGAGTATTATACATTACCCAGAGATCTGAGCATTAGATGCATAAGAACTACTGTGTTTCCCATATCTGTGTGGAGTTATATTGTACCCCAAAGTGGAGATTTCTCCAGTAGATAGTGTCTGTAGACAATTGAGCAATCAAACATGTGTCAGGTACACTTGTAGCTGCTATTGTTATTTGAGCTAAATGGTGTCACTGTGTGGACGTTTGTGTGGCTATGCAGCTCCGGGTGTCGTTGGCAATCTGACGGCCGCCGAAGTGGACTCTTCATCACTGAAGGTGTCGTGGACGAGTCCCAGCCAACCCAACGGACTCATTACCAAATACCGCCTTTTGGTTTTGGACCATAGCACAGTGGTGCAGAACATCACCCTGATTGGATGGGAGCAGGTAACTTCCTATTAGGTTTGGGAAGACCTGTAATTCCTATTCTGATGTTTATCGTTTTTTCCCCCAATGTATAAAGAGCCTGTCCAAGGCAGCACAGAGCACAAGGCTGAGTTACACTCTGGATGGGATGCCAGTCAATCCCAAGACACACACATGCAATTGCGAAACAAGGGCGATTCAGATACGCTAGTTACATAACCTAACTACATGTCATTGGACTACTGGAGAAAACTGGAGAACCCAGGGATAACATGCAAAGTCCACACACTCAGAGTGGGGAGGGAATTCAAACCCACAACCATGTAGGGTGTGAGGTAGCAACGCTATCCACTGAGTTACCACGCTGCTCTCTTAGGGGTTGTAATCGCCAAACTGACATAGCAACTATTCAGTAAACACTCTCCCATAAAACAGTTAGAATTTGGGGCTTTTCTTGATCACTGTTTTGTCATTGTTTCAGGGCCTGAAAGATGCGGATTTTCACAATGGTACGTTGCAGAGGCTACCCACCCCATCTTCCTTGCTCTGTTAGTGACAGCACTATTGGCCCATATGGGCCATGTTTGAATACTGTTTGCTAGTTATGGCCAAATCAAACTTTATGAACCATTTGCTATAATTTTTGACCCCACTAGATGGCGCTCTTCGTTTGCTTTAGCGCATGTTTTTTGAGCCCTTTTTGAACAAAGAGCACCACCTACCATAACTACCAGTTGACCAATCATGCAATGAGCGGGTATAACTGGGATAAAATCAGGGAAGGGCCATGTGATGAGAAGGGACAAACAACATTTAGAGTATACATTTTCGCTCATTCACACAAAAATGAATTTTTCAAAAGTGTGGATGAAAGGTGAAAATGGAGACTAATGTCTGTGTTTTTAAATGAAAATGTAGAAATGCGGACATAGCCTCAGCTACCACTCCTCACATTGGCACAGAAGCTGCTAAAATTGGCACCTCTGGAACCTAGAACCCATTAACTGGACCCTGCCCACTTCTGAATTCACCATTAATGTCACCCCCATCATGGCCACTCTAGGGGGCTGTAGGGGGTTGTTTCTTGTTCTATGTATGACCACTGTGGTCACCTAGCACAAACGTCTGATTCCTTCTGTCATGACCAGTACCTTTGATGCCCTCCACTAAGAAAGCTGATGATTTCTCATCTTCCTAAGTTCCCGCTCTTCACAGCTTCACACCGTATTAGTGAGAGAAGGATGAAGGGAACAGAAAGAGTGACAGAGTGACATGTTTTTCTGTTGTGTCTGACAGTAACATGGTCAACACTGGAAATGGTGGATGTGTCGGCCAATCAGACCTCCTGCGTAGTGAGGAACCTCAGTGCCTTCACGGAGTACACCATCCGAGTGTCTGCCTTCACTGCCATCGGCGAGGGACCTTTCACTGAAATCACAGCGATAACCAGAGAGCAGGGTAATGTTTTTGAAACCTGTGATCTTTTTCAGAGAAAGTCCAAGCTTCCAACGGTCGTGGATAACCTGCTTCCTGTCGTCTTTTTGTTTAGTGCCCGGCTCTGTCATGAGCGTCTCGTACCAGAACATAAGCTCAACCTCTATCCTGGTCACATGGGCACCTCCTCTGAGCCCTAATGGCAGAATCACTTATTATGCCCTCTACTGGCTAGACGTGGGTACTAAGGAGGCCTTCCGGAGTGTCACCAATGAGACCAGCATTGTCCTTACAGGTGATTTAAGAAGTATTGCTCAGTCGACATTGTTTTTCTAGTAAGTCATGCCAAATTCTAGTGATGGCTGAAATGAAGCTTCATGAACCATTTGCTGTATTTTTTGACCCCACTAGATGGTGCTCTTGGTTTGTTTTAAGGCATGCTTTGAGCCTAATTCATATCTTCTGTATTGGAATCTGCTACTGTATTGTCCATGGGACAATATCATTTTAAATAATATTAGCAAATTTTATAGTAATAGAATATTCTTTTTATGTAGGATTAAAAAAGTATAACTTGTACAAGCTCCGAGTGGCTGCCTCCACAGCAGTAGGGGAGAGCCCTCTTTCAGAGGTGGATGATGTTTTCGCTATCACCCTTGAAGACGGTATGTGTATCACACCCCAACATAGCACTGGAGTAGGACTGTCTGTTGGTGATTACTCATCTTGAAACATTGCTTGTGCTTTCTGTGACAGTTATACTCACGAAAGGAGGGATTTGTCCAGAATCTTGTATTAATAATATAAAATGATTTCTTTAATCACTAGATCTTGACCTCTCCATGTCTTTGCCTCCCAGAACCTGATTCCCCCCCTATTCACTTGGCCGTGTCCAACCTCACTTTCTCTTCTGCCACTGTCACCTGGTCCCCCCCGGAGAAACCTAATGGGATCATCCAGTTCTACCAAATACTGTATGGGAACTCAACAATGAGCATGTCAATGAACACTTCAAAGCCGAGCGTGACGCTAGAGAATTTACGGCCGTACTCGTTCTACAATGTGTCTGTGAGAGCCTACACTAAGTACGGACATGGAAACCAAGTGTCTGCAGTCTTGGAGGTACTGAGTGGTGAACATGGTGAGTTACTTTCAGAATTACACTTTTGGTCTGTTAAGCCAAATATGTAAAGCCAGCTTCCCAATTGCATTGAATTAGAGATGTACTGTATATGTCCTATGATGACATATATGACTGTTTATGTGGTGTGTAGCAGCCAATGACTGCAAGAAAGTTGTTGTCAGTGGTTGTATTTGACTACTATATTGAGATGCCCATTCTCGTCTGTCTACTGAAAACATTTGACATCTAATTAACTAATGAATACATGTTTTATGAAGTGATCAATATAACTAGTATTTATGTTTTACTAGTTAACATTTGCAGTCATGAAGGTTGTTTGTATAGATTACTTCATATGGCTAATTTTAGCAACTTAACGTTGATAGCTAGCTACCTAACATCACTGTTAATTGTGTGTATAAAGCGAGATTAGTTTGTGTCTTGTTGACACTAATATATTTTCCTCACTGAAAACAATCCACTTAAGTCCTTTTTATAACATTAAACTGTTCACTGATGGCTGTGTAAAGACAGGTTGCTGTTTGTGGTGCTAAGGGTGTCTCATTATGTTGTTTTATGTTTACTTTGTAAAGTGGTTTCTGAAAAAAAAAATGCATTTTTCGCCCTCCTGAAGTAATGGATTTTTGGAGATACGTGTTTTTCATTTTTATGATTCTGTTACTGTTTGGCTGATAAATGCTTCATTTAACCAGAGATTATAATTTTACTCACTTTCACAGCAGTATTTCAAATCGGTCTGCTCACAAGCCCATGTTGATAACCACCATGCTATCTGTCGCCGTTCTTCTCAGTTCCTGGGAGCCCTCCTATTAACCTGAGCTGCGACAGCATAGGTCCCTCAGAGGTGTCCGTCTCGTGGCACCCACCTCTGCGGCCCAATGGCATCATCCGCTTCTACACAGTGCAGCTCTGGAACGCCACCCACTGGCTGAATCTCAGCACGCCCAGCACCTCAGTCACCCTGCAGCACTTGCGCAAGTACGCCAACTACAGCGCAGCCGTCTACGCCAGCACGAGTCTGGGCGACGGGAACCAGAGCAGCGAGGTGCTCCGTTTCACCACTGCGGAGGATGGTAAATTGGGGGTTAGGATGGGGGACGTAATAGCAGCAGGTGATAGCCCTGTCTCAGCCAGTGCTCTTGTGCAGGGCTGATTTTCATTACAGGGGAACGTGTAAAACACCTGCTTACCAACCTGCTTTGCTGCTGCCCATTAGTTACAGAATAATGGGCTTTTTTATCATTCTAATTACGTTTTCTCTACAAGCTTCTAGGTAACTCCCTTTACCAGGTTATTAAAAGGTTCATCTTCACAGTACGTCATAGTACTATTAGTATATAGTACTTAATAAACAGCCTGCAGAATGTGTGTTTCTTTAGATTAGGCTGTGCTGTTTAGCCATCTTTGAAGTGAGTAGAATAGACTGCAGATTTCCTGGCTGAAAATATATACAGATTGTCTTCAGGAGGAGCGAATTGTCAGCCGGACCATATGGCACCTGTGCTGGTCTCAGGACACTGTGCTGCATTGCGATTAATCAGAGACCCTGACATTTAATTGGCTGTTTTTCATGCCAGTCTCTCAGCGAAGACTTCATAGCCTATGGCTTAATGTGACATGTTCGGCTGCTTTCTCAGCAGCTGGGAATGGTGTGTCGGGAGTGAAGTGCTTTGTTTGGTTAATATCATGAATGCTATTTCCATAGAGCTTCTCAGCTAGGTTAGCAAAGCAGAGCAGTTAAAGTAGCCTGAGGTCCGGACGGCCGGAGGAAACTCGGTGTCCCAGATGGGCTCTGCGGGGTTTGATCAGACACACACTGACACTTTGGGCTGACTCATGGGACTGGCCTATACACTGGACTCCTGCCTACACATTCATCACATCCTGCAGGACCCAGGCTCAGGGAACGGGTTCCAATCTTTAGCTGATTTTGGCCTATAGCCTGTCCCTGTGGTGCACCTGCTACCACAGACCCTCTGCCCGTAAATGAACCTCTGTCACACACTGCCCCTGCCTGTACTGGGGTGACTCCCTGTCATTAAAGTGGCTAAATGTCCATTGAATTAAGGGGGCTGTTACTTAATGACACTGAAGAGGAAGATCTACAGTTGTATTTAAGGTGTAAATCCTCAACTGCATTAAAGAGGTCAGTCTTCTGGTCGTATTTAAGGTGTTAGTCCTCCGCTGCACCAAAGAGGTCAGTCTTCTGGTGGCATTTAAGGCATTACAATTAGTTGGGGGGGTGGGGGGGGGGGGGGGGGATCCAGTGACGCTGATTGTTAACACAGATGTTTGACGCATGATTGGTTTCCTCGTCAGGTGACACCGTGCCTTTTCACGGGGTATGTACACAGGCGTGTTTACTGTGTCAGCTGACTTAGAGCGATGTGTTCTGGCTGGCTCAAATCCCCCGTGAGAATCACAGGTGTATCCCCGATAATGGGGCCGTGGAATTAACTGTTCAACAGAACAGATTCATTAAGAGCCTGTGTGAACAGAGATACCTCTTCTAAAGCCTAGTACTTTTACATTATTTAGCAGATGCTTTGATCCAAAGCAATGTACATTTTTCTTTATTGAAAAGGCTCTCTGGAGCAAATGGAGGTTAAGGACCTTGCTCAAGGGCTCGCCAGTAAAATCACTCTGTCACCTGGGATTTGAACTAACGACCTTCGAATCACAGACGCAGCATTCTAACTGAGCTCCACATCAGCCCTAGGAAAGAAGAGCAGAATAAAAAAACCTTTGAGAAGATACAGTGGATCTCTTATTTATTCTAACCATTTACTCAAACACTCTGACTCCTTTATTGCTCAAAAAAAAAATTATGTGATTTTTGCGAGCAGCCTCCACCTCCCCTGCTGTGCCCCTACTCCCTCTCTCTTCCTCCACACAGCAAACATATTTCCCGAGCCGCCTTTACCCTACACTGCTGCAAAAGCTTCCATAATTATTATTTTATCAGATTTTATAATATATTTATTGTATTGAATTTTTACCTTAGTAAAATGTTTATTAGGAACATTTTTATTATACATAACAAAGTGTATTTATGCCCTTTAGGTCTGCTGTGATGTGTTCTGCTATATGCTTTCTTTGGAATAGAAGTATTTATTCTGTCATTAAAGATTATAATACGTCACATGAAGATTTTTACTAAGTTCTTCCTGGAGGCTTGTGACTTTCGCCCTCACGGTCGTCTCCGTTCTGCTCCTTCGTGCAGTCCCAGATGGGCCTGTGCTGAACCTGACGGTCCTCTCCGTCACCCCCACCTCCGCCATTGTGGAGTGGGACCCCCCGCTCGAACCCAATGGCATGGTGTTCTACATCCTGAGCCTGCAGCTAGCGCACGGGAATGGCAGCGCGATCAACAGGACCACCAGTGACACGGTCGTGCTCTTCACTGGGCTGCGCAAATACGCAGACTACCTGCTGAGGGTGACCGCCACCACGTCCGCGGGCCAATCGGAACGCAGCACCGCGGTCCTGCACCTGACCACGGGCGATGACTGTGAGTTGAATTGTTTCCTGCTTAGCACTTCCTGCCCTCCATGTAATAGCTGGTCAGAGCTGGTTTTGGCAAAGAGCCCCTTTGTGACTGTTTGAGCATTTTAGACAAAAAACTGGCTGAAAATGTGAGACATTTTGTGCTGTTGAGGAAGACTGCATTAATTTAAATATATACAAACCTTGTAACTTTAGGTTTGCATAGGTGAAGAGTGCTTTGAGACTTTTGCTTTTCTCATTGGGGTCCTCAGTTTGTCTGGAGTCGCTCCCGTCATTGAAAGATCCTCCGTATTGAACTATACGTGTGATAGTGGTGTGCGATACTACAAGATTTGGTATCGATCCGATACCAAGTAAATACAGGGCAAGTATCGCCGATATGATACCGATATCGATACTTTTTAGTAATTAAGGTGGATGCATCATCAAATTGCTAAAGCTGAATTCATTTTTATTACCTTTAAGTGTTTTTGTGATTTAAAAAAAAATGATTAGTTAAAACCCAGGACAGAATTTGGGCAAAGTTTATAAGTAAATAAATACTGTAGTGCGGAGGTTCCGGCAGGCAGCGGCATGTTGGACTGATGCCAGCTTCTAAATAGTTCTCAGTAATCGCTTGTGTGATAATAAATGTGCTGTGTGATGTATAGTGGTTAATGTTCATTGTTGTACGTAGTGTGTGTGTATGTGTGCGTGTGTGTATGTGTGTGTGTGTGTGCGTGTGTGTGTGTGTATGTGTGCGTGTGTGTATGTGTGCGTGTGTGTGCACCCACCGTGTGTATGAGGAGTAAACGGGGCGACGAGCACGGTGGGCAGTGCCAGTGTGTGGGTTGTAGTAGTCCGGGTGTAATAAATGCCATCTAATGATTAAACCCCAAACTATCCCTGCTGTTTCATTATTGTGAGCATGGTTCAGCAGCCCACTATTACAATACTTTGTTATAAATATTATACTGTGCGTGTGTGTGTGTGTGTGTGTGTGTGTGTGTGTGTGTGTGTGTGTGTGTGTGTGTGCGCGCAAGTGAGCCTGTTTGCTTGCCTGGCGCCGCTGAGTCACGTGACGGCCAGGAGCGGCAATTGAGAGCAGCAAGGCTTACACACACAGCCGCAGTGCATTAAGGAGAAAAACTGAAGTATCGATCTCATTAAACTGGTATTGATCAATATCAATACCAACATTATTATCGATATTATCGATACTTGGATCGATCCGCCCACCACTAACGTGTGATCAGGGTCACATAAAGGCATGGCTGGGGCCCTGAAAAATTAGCCCAGATGCTCACGGTCGCCCCCTAGTGTCTGGGCCCCTGAAATTCTTCCACTTTCCCCCCTTATAGGTGGGCCCCGGCACAGGGGCGTTGGAGGGGCATGAATACCCTGACACATTCAGGGGGCCCAGCACTTTACAGGGGCCCTTGAATATGTAAAATTATAAAATTTATATGATGCAGGGGGGGGTGTGGGGGACATTTTGTGAGGGTTGAGACTGGGAAGACTAATCAGTCTTTTGTCTTTTGTCCTCTCCGGTCTCCCCCAGTGCCCGGATCGCCCCCGGTGATTAACCATGACTGGAGCATCACCTCCTGCTCGATTCACCTGTCCTGGCTCCCCCCTGTGGAGCCCAACGGCCTGATCACAGAGTACATCGTGGAGCTTCAGGGCCCAGACGGCACCAACCGGACCATCAGCCACAACAGGAGCCTCACCTTCGGCAGCCTGCGGCCGTTTACCTCCTACAACGTGTTGGTCGCGGCGGTGAACCGACGGGGCGTGGGGCCGTACCTCGAGCTCCTGCTCCACACAGACGAGGCAGGTCAGTACCACCCGGCATCGGCGATCTCACGTCAGCCGGGGCCGAACGTTACAGCTGTCATGCAAGGAAGTCATTTAAAAACACAGTGACACAAAACTAAGACTACATATATCACGTGTGTTTCCCTTCTTAATTTATAATTGCATTTTCGTATCTATTTATTCGGTTTTGTACAACTTTATTTGCACTGTGCCTTCACGTGTTGTCTTTCATTGTGCACGTTTGTTTTTATGCAGTAGTGATGGCTAGTGATGGCAAAAATTATACTTCATGAACCATTTGCGGTATTTTCTGACCCCACTAGATGGTGCTCTCTGTCCAAGAAAGAGCTCAAAACAAACCAAGGGCACCATCTAGGGGGCTCAAAAAATACAGCAAATAGTCCATGAGGCATCATTTTGGCTATAACTGTTGTGTGGTTATCTGTACGTTTTATGTTGCTTTGCTGCCGTCTATCACAGTCATTAGACCTGTACTCTGCACTGTTCAGCTTCATCACACACGTTTATAATGAGGTCAGTTCAGTTCAGCCTGTAGTCCTATGACCAGAGTTTGGCTGAACCCCTTCACGACAGCTGAACGGGCTGATGTCCTGGTTCTGCTCCTATAGCCCCAGCCTCCCCACCCTGGGACCTGCACGTGCTGAACCACACGGCTGACTCCGTGTGGCTGTCCTGGAGGCCCAGCCCGGAGCCCAATGGGGTGGTGCTCTTCTACAGCTTCTGGGTCCAGGAGCTCCCCAGCCAAACCCTGATGTACCAGGTGCTGCAAGTGTGAGGTGGTTGGGTCTTTCCTGGGTCTTTAGCGTGACACCTTTTATGCAGACATTTTATGGGGAATCAGGTAGTTTGCAAGTCTTGTTGCATGGGTTTCCTACGGTTACTTTTCATGGTCTTACAGGCATCCCATCCAGGGTGTCCCCGGCCGTATGCTCTGTGCTTCCCAGGATAGGCTACAGGCTAACTACCACTAGATAATTGGTTAGAAGATGAATGGATGGATGGATTCTGAGTATTCAGTCTTTCTTTTCCCAGAATTCCTCTGGGCCCATCACTGAAGCCCAGCTCACAGGGCTGAGGCCACACCGCTCGTACCAAATCAGCGTCAGCGCCTTCACCCGTGCTGGGAATGGAGACCAGTACAGCAATCCTGTCACATTTACGACAAATCAAACAGGTGAACCCTTGTTTTACCTCATTGGATGTCTGATTCGGTCTTCAGTTATAGTAGATCACTCTTCTTCCTCCAGCTTCAGACGTGGTTGGGAATCTCTCCTGTATTGGGGTTACCTGGGACTCTATACACCTGGAGTGGGAGCCCCCGGACCAGCCCAATGGCGCAATCTCACACTACTTGGTCCAGTTCAGTGGCCAGGAGCTGGAGCTGAATCTCCCTGGGCACCAGCGCACCATTGGTGGTCTACAGCCTGACACAAACTACACCTTTCATGTAAGGGCGGTGAATTCAGCTGGACCAGGGGTAGACGTGTCCTGCAATGTCAGCACACAGCCTGAGTCAGGTACTGCCGCCATGTCTGTGATTCACACATACTGTCACTGCGTCTGTGATTCACACGTACCGCCGCCATGTCTGTGATTCACACGTACCACCGCCATGTCTGTGATTCACACATACTGTCATCGCATCTGTGATTCACACGTACCGCCGCCATGTCTGTGATTCACACGTACCACCGCCATGTCTGTGATTCACACATACTGTCACCACATCTGTGATCCATGTACCGCCACCATGTCTGTGATTCACACGTACTGTTAGCAAACAGCTGGAATGAGGTGTTGTCCCCCTAAATGATGCATTCCGAGCAGAGAGCTGTTCGTATCTGTGATTTCTGAGGGTCAGCAGGGTCATCACAGTCCTGAAAAGAATGCAGGAGACATTCCTTTGCTAATATTGCTCTGCTAATATCTTCCCACGATTCTCGTTTCTGCTTCTTCTCGGAGCAGAGGCTCTGTTGATTATCTGCTTCACCGATTCCACCCGAATGCCCCCCCCCCCGATGTTCTGGTTGGAAATACGTGGGAAAAGGCGGTGACCCAATGAAGCTGGCGTGTTAGTCACACCTCTCCGGGTGGAGCTGAGTCACAGCCTCTTTGTGTATCCCAGACCTTTGTGACGAGGAGTTCGTCTCACTCTTCATATGCACTGGCTACATTTTTCGCATCTTCCCTCTACTTGAGCGCTTGACCATACAGAATTCAGGGAGATCAGGAGGAATCAGGCAAAACAGTGTATTTTCACAAGGCCCCAAGCTCTGGTCACCTGACCCAGAGTGTTGCTTTATTCAGCGGCACTTTGTGACCCTGGGTGTCCTCTCTGTGCCCCTGGTCACGGGCTTCACACTGATTTACTACCTAACACCACATGGACACTCCCCCCATTGTAAAGTTTGATTGTAATGCTAAACATAGATGGATGTTTGCGGGGGAATTTCTTCACAGTAAAAGTACATATGATGTTCACATCGATACGTTCATTCTTTAAGTGATATTTTACAGTATTTACAAAAGACTGTAAACCATAATGGACTGTCCTCTGCTTATTGACTGCTCTACAATTAGTACCTGATGAACAGACAGTTCTGTTCATGCCCTCTTATCTTGCTCTGGTAGGGCAGTTAAAATCCATCTTCCCATTTTGTAAAGATGAAGGAGAAAAACTACAGGTGGACGGAGGGGGGGTGGGGGGCATTGCCCACCCAAACAGATTGTCTGTCCATACAAACTGAATTATCTGCCCAGCCAACGAAAACAGACCAAATTTACCCAATCATTAGTAATTTAACTAAATCCTAAATTATTCCCCCCACAATTCAAACACTGGCGCCCCACCCAAAGATAGCACCCTGGAAATGCCACTGGTTGGCTGTTAATGAAGTTCTCCTCTCTCTGACCATCTTCAGTCCCGGGGCCTCCTAGCGATGTGAAAGTGATTGAGATCCAGTCCACCAGCGCCACCCTGAGCTGGGCCCCCCCTGGGCTGCTCCCGGGACGCCTGCGGGAGTACCGGCTGCTGCTGGAGCTGCTGGCGCTCTCCTGCCTCGCGGGGGACCCCGCCGGCTGCGTGGAAGCCGAGAAGGTGTTGCACGTGAACGCCACAGGGGGCGACCAACAGACCGTCCTGTATCCGCTGGCCAAGTATCGGCTCTACCGCTTCAGCGTGTCTGCCTGTACCGGAGCGGGGTACGGGGATGCCTCCCAGTGGAGCTACCTGCACACGGCCCCCGGTGGTGAGTGGGAATTCACAGTCACCCATCTTTCTGCAACCGTTACTAAATTGTTCTTTATATCTTCTGGTGCACTCAAATAGCAGCAGGTTGCTAGATTAAAGGATTTAATCTGTGTCAGTATGAGACCAAACTTTAGCGGGCAGTGTGCGGCCTTGTGAGTTAGGATACTGTGCCTATGATCAGAAGGTCGTTGGTTCACATCCCAGGGTTGGTCAAGTTATTTCACCGTTGGGCCCTTGAGCAAAATCCTTAGTCCCCATTCGCTCCAGGGACTGGCTGGCCCTGCATCCACAGTGGTACGTCACTTTAGTGAAAAGCATCAGCTAAATAAATAAAAACATGTAAATTAACACTGATGACACAGCTGTGGTGCTTTATGGGGGCGAGAACCTACACCAGCATAATGTGTGTGATCAGGGTACACAGCCACACCCTCGTGGTACATGGGCTGTTCATTAGTGTGTCATTGCCTTCCGGCTCGGTCAAGGGGCTGCGGTTTTCTGACATGCATAATTAAATCAGTGAACGGCCGGAGAAACGGCCTGAGCTCTCACCGAGGAGGTTATCAGC